AGGGGGAAGTGAGAATAGTTGATGAGATTTTGGGCTGCATGCTTTGGAAAAGATTCAGAATCAGTACTTTGACCCTTGCAAGGACACAGCACCCCGGGCTATTTATTAAAGCAGCCAGACATGTTTCATTCTCCTGCATTAGCCTGAAACACGGCGTGGCTGCTTTAAGAGTCAGAGTGGATTCCTTGAAGCAGCAGCATCTTTAGTTCTTCATGCTTAGAAGGAAGAGTGGAAAATGTCAGGCTGCTTAAACAATTAGTACGGAGGCTGTCAACTCATGTGAGATCAGAAGCACTTCCTGCAAATAAACTTCAAGGCTTTCGCAGGTTGAGCTAGTCATGAGCCTGAAATGGTTGCCCAACTGATTCTCAGCACCAACCTTAGAAAACACTCAGGTGCCTGGTTGCTACGCAAGATCCTCTCCTTTCGTACAAGCATGTGATATGATGCTTGTACAGAGAGGGTAGAGCTTCATCACAGTTCCCTTCCATCATGTCTCCCATTACCTCTGGGGACCCCTCTGACTCTGAAACATGGCAGCCTCTTGCTCTGCCAGATCCTCTGAATTAATGCTCCAGGCAGAGTCCCTGTTCACATCTTGGCCCTCCCAGGAACTCACTGAAGGCAAAGCCAAACACTCTTCGCTCCCAACCCCGTTCTTCCCACCTGCAAGATGGAAGTGAATGAGACTGAGGGAAGAATTGCTGGGAGGGTGTGAAGCTGCAGGAAGAGTCGGAAGGACTCAGGAAAGCTTAGGTGTTGGTGAAAAAGCAGTGAGTCTTCCGGTCCTGGAGGGGTGCTTGGAAGTTTTCATCTCCTTTCAGAGAGGAGGCCTCAGGTTTGATCCATTGGGAGTCATGACTCAAAGCAGACCTGCAGCTGAAGCTGTTTTTCTTCTCCTTCCTCCTCTTCTCCGTTACAGCAAATGTAGTTCTGGATCCAGACACAGCCCATCCCGAGCTCTACGTCTCCAAGGATCGTAGAAGCATCAGAGAGGGTTTTGAAGATAAACGCCGTCGCAAAAACCCCAAGAGATTTGAAGAGTGCGAATATGTCCTTGGCTGTCAGGGGTTCTCAACAGGGAGACATTTCTGGGAAGTCACTATAGAAACGGAGGGGCAATGGGCTGTCGGGATTGCCAAACAGTCAGTGAACAGGAAGGGTAGCAGCGATCTTTGTCCTGAGGAAGGGATTTGGGAGATTGGGAACTGGGCAGGGAAATACGACACCAACTTTCCCCCAAAATGCCCTGAAGTTCCCCTCACTAAGAATCCAAAGAAGATCCGAGTCTCTCTCAACTGTGAAGGGGGACAGGTGACCTTTTTTGATGCCCAGACCGCAGCCCTGCTCTACAGGTTCTCAGAAGCTCCTTTTGCTGGAGAGACCCTTCTGCCCTCCTTCTACCTTTGTGAGAATATCTGCCTGACATTCCATCCTAAAAGTGGCTACAGACGTGGAGAAAACTTTGGAAAAATCTCTATTTGCCCAGCAGGGATCTCTGAAAGCCTCTAGACCAAATTTGTACAGAAGTAAATACTATCCCTTGGAAAATTGGCTGGGACAGAGGCAGGAAATATCCTCCTACACAGAGGAACCTGTGTTAATACTCTGCCTCATGAGGACCAGATAGATTAACTGTATCATCTTATAAATGTTTTGAAGATGCACTGAAAGAATTTTTGCAAAAAATGATGATTTCTATTTTGGAAAAGGAATGGAATTCAGAAAATTGGAAAAGAGCAGATATTGCTTTAATTATTAAAGGATGAAAGGATCCTATTTTCCCAAATAAATGATCAGCCAATTTCATTACTGAACAATGACTATAAAATATTTTCTATAGTTTTAGGTGAAAGAATGAAAGGTGTTTTGCAGGACTTTATGCATGAAGATCATTGAGGATTCCCACCTGAAAGAGAATTGTGGGACAAGATAAGAAATATTTTTAATATACTGGAATATTTGAATGAGCATAATGAAAAAGTAGCCATGTTGATATTTCTTGATATGAAAAAAGCATTTGACAATTTGAGCTGGATTTTTTTGTTTAAAATTTTGGAATTTTGTTTAAAATTTTGTTGAATACATTTAGGTAAATGTATTAAATGGGTAAAAGTGGTATATATGCCTCAAACAGCACAAATTCTAGTCAACCAAGAGTCAGAGGACTAAGCAAAGCTGAGGTGTTGCTGAAAAAGTGGTGAGTGTTCCAGTCCTGGAGGGGTGCTTGGAAGCTGATCTCCTTTCAGAGACGAGGCCTCAGGTTTGATCCACTGGGAGTCATGACTCAAAGCAGGCTTGCAGCTGAAGCTCTTTTTCTTCTCCTTCCTCCTCTTCTCCGTTACAGCAAATGTAGTTCTGGATCCAGACACAGCCCATCCCAGCCTCCACCTCTCCAAGGATCGTAAAAACATCAGCGAGGTTTTTGAAGATCAATGCCGTCGCAAAACCCCCAAGAGATTTGAAGAGTGGGAATATGTCCTTGGCTGTCAGGGGTTCTCAACAGGGAGACATTTCTGGGAAGTTACTGTAGAAAAGAAGGGGGAATGGGCTGTCGGGATTGCCAAACAGTCAGTGAACAGGAAGGGTGACAGCGATCTTTGTCCTGAGGGAGGGATTTGGGAGATTGGGACATGGGGAGGGACATACCAGGCCAACATTCCCCCAGAATGCCCCGAACTTCCCCCCACTAAGAATCCGAAGAAGATCCGAGTCTCTCTCAATTGTGAAGGGGGACAGGTGACCTTTTTTGAAGCCGAGACTGCAGCCCTGCTCTACACATTCTCAGAAGCTCCCTTGGCTGGAGAGAGCCTTCTGCCCTCCTTCTTTCTTTGCCTCAATGCCTGCCTGACACTCGCTCCCTAAAAGTGGGGACAGACATGGAGAAAACTTTGGAAAAATCCCTATTTGCCAGGTAGGGATCTCTGAAAGCCCGTAGAGCAAATTCGTACAGAAATAAATACTGCCCCCATGGGAAATTGGCTGGGGGGAGGGAGGATCTACCTACACAGAACCTGTGTTAAAACTCTGCCTCATGAGGACCAGATGGATTACCTGCATCTTCTTAGAAATGTTTTGAAGATTAACTGATAAAACCTTTGCAAAAAATGATGAATTCTATTTTGGAAAAGGGATGCAATCCAGAAAATTGGAAAGGAGCAAGTATTGCTTTAATTCATAAAGACAGGATCCTGCTTTACCAAAGAAACGATCAGTCAATTTTTTACTGAACAATTACTGTAAAATATATACTATGGTTTTAGCTGAACAGGTCTCACCTGCTGGCCTGCTTGCCTGGGGCTCTGCCTCTTCCCTGTTCTTGTCACGTGAGGTCCTCGCTTAACGACTCACACGGTCCTGGGCCAGGACTGCCAGGATTGCCGTCACTAAGAGGTGTGGTCACGCAATGTTGTGCTTTAGAACCGCATTGTTAGGTTAAAATATAGATGTTAATTCTAGTATGTGTTAAACTTGCAAAGGAGTTTCTGAGAAGAGACAGAAAAAATGATGAGAAATTGATTTTTGTGGCACTATTTGAAGAGATTAAAATCAAGATTTTTAATCTGTTGCTGTGTCTGGTAGCACTTCATGGATTCTTTTTGACTAAGTTTGAATGACGAGGCTTTAAAGATTTGTAGATAAGAGATAAGATATGGGAAGAAGAAAATATTTGTTGTATTTTTGAAAAAAAGGATAAGTTACTGTGTTAAAGGAGAGAATATGAAACTGATTTATTCTGAAGGGCATTGTTTTGATACACAATTTTACTCTCTCTCATAATGTGTGGGCATGCATGTG